TAGAGTTGTTTTAAGACTTTTGATACATATTTTCAAAGTATCTTTCAGAAAAGTTGAACCAATTCTCATTCTTACCAGCCCTGTATGTAAGTGCCCATGCTCCTTTGTGTTTTCACTGTATGAAAGAACCCTTCACCTCTAGGTATAAATCACTAATAATGGTGTGGATTCAAACGTCACACTGTCTGTGTTCAAATTCCAGCTCCACAACTTAACAGTCATGTGGCTTTGGGTGTGTGGTTCATTCTCTGTAACTATAAAATAGGCCTAACAATAGTTTCTTCATGCAACTTATGTGGTTAGGGAAATTTAATAAGGTATGCAAAATATTTAGATTATAATGATCAATAAATGTTGGCTGCTATTATTAAAATTATTTACCAATTTGTTACTTGAAAATATTTTCTTATTCTCATTTTCATATATTCTTGATTACAAATGATACATAATTTTTTCCATATATCTATCAGTCAATTGTAAAATTGTTTAACTTTAACTTTTTTCCATTATGATATTTGTTTTCCCTTTTTCTGATTGATTTAAACCAATTCACTATTCAGTTATGATAGTAACTTTTTTGTCTTTCTTATATATTGTTTTTCTAATATTTCATTTGCCTTTTTAAATTACACTTATATCAAATAAAAGTTTATTTTTTTATGTAATAAAATAAGTTATTTTCTGCATAATTCTGCCTTAAATTATATGTTGAGAAATGTCTTTAATGTGCTTAAATTAAATAATCTATATTTTCTTCCAGTTTTGTTATTATTATATTAATTTTTAATTTATGTAAATAATAGCTTTGTCTCAAATAATTATTAAAGATAATGGAAAAGGGTTATCTTAAAATGTTAAGTGAAAAAGAAGCATACAAATAGAATATACAGTATGATCCAATTTTTATAGAACAAGATTCCATTTGTGGACATTTTGTGTAGAAACTAAAATATTTAACAATGTTTACTAGGTTTAATAATTTTCTTCTTTATCTTCCTTTGGGCTTTCTAAAATGAATGTGTATCATCTTATCTTTATTATCAGAAATTTTTAAATAATACTTTTTAATTATAAAAACGTGGTATATCTTAAAATGATTTGGAATGGTGCAGTTCAACAGAAATATAATGTGAGCCATATATCTAATTTTAGTTTTTCTAGTGAACATATTCTTTAAAAGTAAAAAAGTAACTAGTAAAATTAATTTTAACATTATATTTTATTTAACACCTTATAGCCAAATGCTATCATTTCAACATGTCATCAGTATAAAACTTTTTAAGATATTTTACATTCTTTTTTGGTACTGTGGATCTAAAATCTGGTGTATGCTTGGGGCACCTAGGTGGCTCAGTAGTCTGAGTGGTTCTGACTTTGGCTCAGATTGTGATCTTATGGTTCTTGAATTGAGCCTGTGAACCTCACATCAGTCTCCCTGCTGTCAGCATAGAGCCCATTTCAGATCCTCTCTGCCCCTCCCCTGTTCACTCTCTCTCTCTCTCAAAAATAAACTTAAAAAAAAATCTTGTGTATGCTTTACACTTTTGCATATCTCATATGCATTAGTCATATTTCAAGTTTTTAATAACCACATGCATATCATTGTTACCATATTGTACACTGCATATTTGAAACATAAAAATGTCTTGAGTCCCAAATTGGACCAAACCCCAATTATTTACTGAACTGTTCCTTCAAATTCCTTTTGAGATGCAGTTGATATGAATTAGGGAGTATAAATTGAAGTGCCAGAGAGATAAGTAGATAATCTAAAAAAAGCTGGGTACAAAAATAAAACTGAAACACGTGTCTTTCTGAAGGATTGAAGCCATTGGTAAGCTCCCTCCAGTCGGTGCAATGTGGGAATGCAGGCCCAGAGTTGACAGACCTGAGTTTTCATGGAAACCTAGAATCTGGATTTTCCTGTGCAATTTCTCAATTATTAAATGTTGACAAGGATTCAAAAATTGTACAGCATTGTACAGGACAAACTATGTTTTTACCAAATATAATCCCTTTTATGCCAAATTTTGACTTCTGGGATCAGTATATACTTTCAAAGATCTGCTAATTTTATTAACTTTAAAATATTAGGCTACTCATTCTTACTGAACTAAAGCTTTTATTTTCACCTAATGTGCTTTATAACATTAACAGCTAACATTTACTGAGAGCTTAATATATGACTGGCATCTTGGTGAACATTTTCTATATTTTACAGATTAGAAAAATGAAACTAAGGGCAGTTGACCAATTGTATTTAAGGTCACAAATCTTATAAGCGATGATGCCAGTATTTGAACTAAGGTCTGCCTGACTCCAAAGTCTGTGCTTCTACAAACATTCCTTTAAATTGCCTAGGAGTATTCATGTCTAGGTAATCTACCAATCAATCTCAATCTCCCTTCCCCCCATCCACAGAGTCCTCTGGTCCCTTTTAGTCATAAGAATACTACATATACTAGGACTTTATATGCCTCTGCCTTTGTCTCTTATCTTTCTCTCTTTTATGTTCATTCATCTCCTTTACAAAAGACTTTTTCCTTTTCTCATTATCATCTTTCATGTTCCTTGACTGGTAATGTCCTTGTTTTAATCACCTTAATAAGGGAGGGTTCTGAGGCACTGGTGGTGTGTTTGAAGCTGGCTTTTACTGGCTGAGGACAGCTAACTGTGAATATCAATATGTTGGTCAGGGCCAGGGTCTTATCTGAAGGTTTGAGAGGGCAAGGATCTGTTTCCAAACTTGCCTATGTTGTTTAGCAGGATTCACTTCCTCAAAGGTTATTGGACCGAGGGTCCCAGTTCCTCACCGGTTGTTGGCTGAGAAATACTGTCAATTCTTTGCCATATGAGCCTCTTTAACATAGGAATTTGTTTCAAAGGCAGCAAATGGGAAGGGAGGACAAGGAGGAAGTCTTCTGGTAAAACCAAAACCACAATCTTCTGTAACACAGTCACAGAAATGGTGTCACATCACTTTTGTTGTAATCTATTGATAGGAAGTAAGATCTAGTGATTTTGCCCACTCAGCAGGAGGGACAATTACACCAGGGCATGAATACTATATCCAAGGATAATTTGAAATCTGTAGTATTTAAGTTCTGTCACTGATAATTTTAAGGGCCTACATTGCCTTTCATTTATAAGCTCACTGAAGAATTCATTGGATGTGGATCTATTATTGACTTATTTCTTTTTGCACAAGTAATCCATATTCTTTAAGAAAAATGTAGTTGAGTACAAAGAAAAAAACACCCAATACCCTACAAGAGAACCACCGTGAACTTTTTAGTGTACATACTTTAAATTTCAATTTTTATGTAGTAAATCTAAAAGCCTTTTTAATTTTTTTTAATTTTCTCACTCTGTGCATTTTAATACTTCTCTCCACTGAATTCAGATATTCACTTTTATGTTCTTCATTACGGTTCCTATTTAAGAATCGAGATCATAATAAATATATGCACACAGTAGCCCTTTAGACATTAATGTGCATCAGAATCACCAGGAACCCTTCCTAGAAATTAATGTTCTGGATCCCCATTCAGTAGATTTAGGGTAGGACGAATAGTCTACATTTTTGAGGAAGTCCTCAGGTGATTTTCACATCCATGACAAATTAGGATAGTTTCAAGTACTTCAAGACATTCTTTTTTTTTTTTTTTTAATTTTTTTTTCACCCTTTCTTTATTTTTTTTGGGACAGAGAGAGACAGAGCATGAACGGGGGAGGGTCAGAGAGAGAGGGAGACACAGAATCGGAAACAGGCTCCAGGCTCTGAGCCATCAGCCCAGAGCCTGACGCGGGGCTCGAACCCACAGACCGCGAGATCGTGACCTGGCTGAAGTCGGACGCCTAACCGACTGCGCCACCCAGGCGCCCCTTCAAGACATTCTTAAAAGGATCTATTGTTCCCTTAGGAATTGCAAGTGATCCATTCTAGATAAGTGAAGCCACATATTCAAGTTTATTTTATTCAGGGACTAAACTGAGACAAGAATTCAGAGCTCCTGACTCAATCATTATTAATTGTATTTTAAGGGCCTACTTCTTGTCAGGCAGAATTCAGCTTGACTAGCAGAGTAAGAATACCAGACTGGTGAAACCTATTGGAAACTCTGCTAAGTGACTGAACAGAAAATCTGGGGATAGGGGGTCTTCCCTAATAGGTGGGGATGAGGACAAAAATAGGTAAACACAGCTCATACACACTCCTTATCTTGTTTCACAGTCAGGTGAAGCAAGCATTGTCCCCAATTTATAAAGAATTCCTAAATTTATTCATCTGGCTAAAATATCCAAATTTCATGACCAAATATTTATTAAGGGACCCTACTGCTTTCACAAGGTCATTAAAAATAGTTTCCATTTATGGGGCACCTGGGTGGCTCAGTTGGTTGAGTGTCTGACTCTTGATTTTGGCTCAGGTCATAATCTCAGGGTTGGTAGGTTTGAGCCCCGTGTTGGGTTCCATGCTGACAGCACAGAGCCTGCTTGGTATTTTCTCTCTCCCTCCCTCTCTGCCCCCTCCTCCACCTTGCTCTCTCTGTCTCTCTTTCAGAATAAATAAACTTAAAAAAAATAGTTTCCATTTCTTCTAAAACTACAGAAAATATAAAACACATCAACTCATCTCACAGAAATATGTCCTTGTATTAATCCTTTTACATATTTAATTTCATCATTTTTCTCTTAATGTACTAAATATATAAACATAAATAAATAAAATATAAATACAGTAATAAAATACATAGGTTGCTTTTTTTAAACTGCTTTATTAGCTTCACAATATATAACGAGCATCTTTCCATGCAGTAGGCAAAATTTCCCTAACAAAAATCTTACATATTGGGTCAAAAACACAACATTCAACTAGAAGTAATAATAGACTCACCAGGAATGAGTGACATCAAAAGGTTTACAACAAAGGTATATCATGAACATATAAGTTTAGAAAGCAGGTGTCTCCCTGTGAACCTCAGGGAAAACATCAGGATTCAAGGCATAAGGCAAAACTCATCATGATGGTCACGGTGAGGGGGGTCAGTGCTAACTGCCCGCAAACTATGACTGAACTGTTTTTCTTTCAGCTTTTGCATGAGTTGTCTCATCTCCCCAATCCTTTCCATATTCTCTTCTCTCATCGTTGCCTGTGGCTCTTCAAGCCTCTGAATCACATCCCACCTATACTGCAGGATGGGCTGCCTAACACGGAACCGCCTAGGCACACAATATTCACCAGTTTCCAAAGGGAGGGCCAAGGGATCTCCTTTATTAGCAACTTGCTCATTGTCATCATTTTTTTCATTTCCCTGGTCGGTATTTTCCATGTTGAGATTTTTTACTGCGTGTTCCTCTTTGGACGCCATTACTCCTAGGAGACAAAAGACCAAAGGGTTTGAGGTTTTGGTGGACAGATCAGCACCGAGAATAGAGGCCTTACTACTCCTCTTTCAGAGCCCTGGATATCAAAGGTTTTTTAAGTCATCATTTTCCCACCTGTAACGCTCCGTGCGCCCTCTAGGGGGCCTCCAGTATGGACCCTCCTCCTCTCTCACTTCTCTGTCCTACCTCCCCCAAACCCACCATTTTCCTACAAATATATCCCCAGGCTTCTGCAGTCAGCAAAATGGAGGACGGGGGACAGGGATGGTGGAGTTGGGAGGGGGTCTCGAACTGGGCTCTTCACCCGCCCCCCACGCTGTCCCCCGCACCGACCTGGGCCTATCCTTGCAGCCTCCTTCCTCCTGATTCTCACCGTGCGTGTGCTGCTGCAACACTTGACACCTAGACCTGCAGACCTGCAGAGGGCGGGGTGGAGGGAGCCGGGACTGTGGCGAAGCGTTTGGCGCCGACCAGCCACCACCTGGTCCCTTCAGGGTCCCGGACCGCCTGGCCACCCCCCATCCGCCTCTCCCGCCCCAACCCCTAGCCTTCCCCACCCCGCCTCAGAGGTTCACCATTTTCCTGTAGGAACTCGGAGGTGATTTCCCATGACTCTTAGTGGCTCGGTTGCCCTCGAGGCCGCCAGCACCTCCACCCCACCTCAGGGGGCCACAACGGACGCTCCCAAGACTGCTGGGTGTGGAGAAACCATGCTGGGACCCGCTGCGCTGATCCTTTGCACCGCCCTCCGGGATAGGCCTGCAGCTGCCGCCCTGGCCTTGGTACGCGGACCCCAGGGCCCTTACCTGCTCCGCTTTCCTCGGGCCCAGTGCCAGCCCGCCCGACCGAGGGCAGCGGGGAGCTGGTATCCAGCCGGGAATGACGACTGCACCGAAGGCTGCATCATTCTGCAGCTCCAGGTCACGTGAGGGCTTCGCGTCACCAATGAGTTTTCTCCCCTCCCACTCTACCTCCTCTGACAGCGGGGAGTTTTGCAGGACCCTGCCCCCTACCTCCGCACTCTCGAACTCTTGCCAGGCCTCAGTACGCACAGCCTTGTAACTCAGCTCCGTCTCCTTCAATCTGAGGGGTCCCTAGTAGCCTTCTGGCCTTATGGTTGGTTTTCACTTCTCTTCTTACCAGGGGAGGGTATGCATATCACCCTGCCCCTCTCCCTAGGGCCTTGACATTGGCTTTGGTATTTTCAGTTTTTTCTCCTCTTCTCCCTGGCTGAATTTCTGCTTTCTAAAAATTTCTCTTTATTTTCTTTAAAACAATCAGTATGGCTCGAAAACAAAATTATGAAATTTCATTTTTAAACGACATGTTTCAACCTGGGGAAGTAAAAAAGCCTCAATTTTTATGTTCTCATGCACCACACAGAAAATACTTTCTCTGAGTTCCACAAAACTTCAGATTAGAACATTGTAGCTAGTTTTAAAATTTTTCAAAAAAAAAAGGGGGGGGGGGAGTTGGGGCCGGGGGGAGGGGCAGGGAATCTTCCTGAACACAGATGGTGTTTTGAAAATGATCAAGAAGTCCAGTTGTCAGATCTTGGCTATTGTATATAAATAATCCACCCTTTGCCCCCTTATGGAACAAATTTAATATTTGTTAATAAACATTTATATTTTATTCTATTATGATTAACATTCATTATATATGGTAAAACATTTGCTGATAACTGAAGTCTTCTGTGAAATGTAATGGCTATTATTAATAATGATTTTGCAGACCTAAGCAAAGGGAAGGGCTGTGAGGTGGTGGCAGGTTGAGAGATGGATGCAGAGATAGATCTTTCCTTCCCTGACAAGAGTTTGGGAAGGAGCAGTCTACCCACTGCCACATTCCAGAGTCTTTTATTTCCTACATTTGGGCTCTGACTGTACTTATTCCAAAAATATAGATGGACAAGTGACAAAGGTAATGACCTAAATTGATTCCTTTGGTTCCTTCCCTCCATTTCTTGCCCAAATTCCACCTAGTGACTCACCTCCCAGATAGATGTATGTGTGTATGTGCGGGGGGCGGGGGGGCGGGAAATCTGTTCTCATACCTCTTCTACACCTCTGTGGTAGAGGCTTCCAAGAATAGTAGAGAATTTATTCTGTAGGGAAAGCCTCCCAAGTTGGCGTGCTATATCCTCTTTGTCACCTTGTCTAGGAGAAAGCCTCCCTGGGACATTTCTGTTGTCTCTCACCTGGGTTAGAACTGCTGGGATCTTCACCCTGTCCTCCCCACCTCTAGGACATTCAGAAAGAACCTAGCCTTACTGCAGGGTCACTATCTGCCAGCCTATACTCACCCTGGTACTACGTCATTTATGCCAGGGCACAAGGAACACTATCTACCAACCACCCTGAGACCCTGAGTAAACGTAGATTAGTCATTCTCAACACAGAAGTTTGTGGAACAGATATTCAAATATTATCTATGTATGTGAGGAGTTGGTAATATATTCACATTTTTGTGGGGAGAGGGGCCAAACTTCTTAGCTGATCTTCAAGAGACACCATGATTCCTCGCCCCTCAAAAAGTTTAAAAATCTCTATATATGCTGTTTCACTCTCTCTTTAAGCCCTTTACTTTCACCTTAGCCCTGCTTCATTTTCATTTGTTTTCTGCCTTAGTATCCACCCTTTGGCAAGCCTAGAATCTGGCCATCATCCTTGAATCCTTTATCATTGTCCCTCATATTCAATTAATAACCAAACCTGGCTAAGACTCTCATGTCTTTTTAAAACAGCATTATGAAACCATAGTTCACATACCATAAGATGTGCCCACTTAAAGTGTATACTTTCATGGTTTTTAGTATATTTACAGATATGTGCAACCATCACCATAGTCAATTTTAGGACGTTTCATCACATCAAAAAGAAACTCAAAAAGTACACTTTAGCTATCACTCTCTATCCCCCAATTCTTTCCAGGCCAAAACACCACTAACATAATTTGTCTCCATAGATTTCCCTATTTTGGACATTCCACATAAATGAAACATATAATATGTGTTCTTTTGGTATTGGCTTCTTCATTTAGCATGTTTTCTGAGTTCGTGGCAACAATACAATTAATCGTTTGAGGAACTGCCAAACTTTTTTCCAAAGTGACTGATCATTGTAAACATTCCTACCAGCAGTATATGAGGGTTCTTATACCTCCACATCCTCATCAACATTTGTTATTTTCTGAAATTGTGATTCTAGTCTTAGTAAAGATGAAGTAATATCTCAGGCTTGGCATTTGCTAGATGATTAATGATTTTGAGCATTTTTCATGTTATAGTTCTGCTCCCATTCTTATGCATGTGTGCATTTCCCCAAACCACAAAGCAATTCTCTGATATCAACTGGGTGTCCTACAGTTATCTCAATTCTGACACTATCTCTCTGGAGATACATTACACAGGTTAAGGGCTCAGTCCACAAGATTGCCTTCCACTTCAGATGCCAGTCACAAGTACAGGTTGTTATATGTGTTTCTGACTTACTGACTATAAATCAGAAGTTCTCACCACTCCGCCCCCCCCGTAGGTTTGATTAATTTGTTGTACAGTTTATAGAACTCAAGAAGCCAGTTTACTCACTAGATTACTGGTTTATTACAAAGGATATAAATCAACAGCTAGATTAAGAAATACATAGAGTGAGGTCCTAAACAAATGAGCTTCTGTCACCATGGAGTTTTCCACACTGCGTGGCAGCACAGGGAAGCGCTCTGGTTCACCAACCTGGAAGCTCTCTGAATCTCATCTGTTTTGGATTTTTATGAGCCTGCATTACACAGGCATGGTTGATTAAATCACCAGCTGTTGATGATTGGTTTAATCTCCTGCTCATCTCCCCTCTCTGGAAAGCATGGGGTAGGACTAAAAGTTCCCACCCTCAAATCATGGTTTTTTTCTACTGGCAATCAGCCACCCCACCTATCTTTAGGGGATTTCCAAAAGTCAACTTATTAAAAAACTTGGCTGTGGTTGAAAGAGATTTCTTATGAATAACAGTGACACCCATTTTACCTTTATGGCTTTTAAACGACAAAAGACCAAATATTATGAGAGAAGGTACTCCTATTGCTCTTATCTGTTAGGTAATTTCAAGGGTTTGGGAAGTTTTGTGCGGGGGAAAATCAAATATATTTCTTATTATAAATCACAGTATCATATATGTTCTTATTAGTCATTTGTATAAATTCTTTGGAGAAATGTCCATTCTGACCGTTTGCTCATTTCTTTTTCAATTCTGCATCTTAAAAGTGTCCGTTTTCCTACATCCTCAAATATATTTGAAAAGACCAGATATATTTCTTTTTTAAATTATTTATTTATTTATTATTTTGAGAGAGAGAGAGAGAGAGAAAGAGAGAGAGAGAGAGAGAGAGAGAGAAAGGGAGAAAACAAGCTGGGGGGGGGAGCAGAGAGAGAGGGAGAGAGAGAGAAACCCAAGCAGACTCCACACAGTCAGCACAGATTCTGACATGGGGCTTGAACTCATGAACCTTGAGATGATGACCTGAGCTGAAATCGAGTCAGGTGCTTAACCAACTGAGTCACCTAGGCAACCCTGAAATATATTTCTTATTATAAATCACAGTATCACATATGAGCTTATCAGCCACTTGTATAAATTCTTTGGAGAAATGCCCATTCTGACCCCTTGCTCATTTCTTCTTCAATTCTGCATCTTAAATGTGTAATTTTTCTATATCCTCACCAACCCAAGCATTATCAATATTTTTAATCTTTGCAAATCTGGTAAATTAAAATAAAAAAAATAATTAATAAAATTAATTTTAAAAATAAAATAAAAATCTCACTTTGCTTTTCATGTCTTTGTTAATATACTTGAGACTCTTCATAGTTATTAGATATTCCTTTTTTGTGTGTCTTGGTTGTTTTTGTGTTCTTTGCTCATTATTGTAGCGGTGTGTTTTATATAATTAGAGTCATTTTAGCTGCACAATGGTTGGTGAAAGAATGCAAGAACCAAATGATGGAGTTTCTTATAGTAAGAACCAAGTGGCCATCTTGGGTTTCTCATAACCCCAATTGTCCATTGAATTTACAACTATTGTTTGCCTACCATAATTTCTCTGAATCAGAAGCAGACTGTTACCAATTTACAGGACATCAGGATGACAAGTCTGGCAACAAGGGGTCATTTTATGCAGAATAATGGGTTTTATCTACATATGCCAAAACTTTTATACTTTCTGTTCCTGATGACTTTGAATAAAAGTCAGCCAGGACATTTCCCTGATACTTAGTTTCAGTCCTCAATTTTGGTCACAGCAATTTCAGAAGGTAAGAGAATAGCAACAAGAAGGTCATTTACTTCTTGTCCATTTTTT